AAAAATAATTTTATTATCTATAGTAATATAAAGAGGTTGTTGGAAAAATACAAAAATAGTATGTTTGAATTGAAAAATAATGTTTTGACTTACTAATTTAAGTAACACCAATGGGCCCCACACGATTAAAATTTAATTTAAGTAATAAATATCTCATAACAAAAATAGTTCGGATTTTCTTAACTAATTCAGCGGATTCTGTGGGATTTTATAGATTCACAATTATAATAATTACTACAAAATCTTGAAGATCATCAATTTAAGTAATAAAATCTCTCATAGCAAAATTAGTTCAGATTTTCTTAACCAATTCAGCGGATTTTGTGGGATTTTATATATTCACAATTTTAATAATTACTACAAAATCTCGAAGATCATTAATTTAAGTAATAAATCTCTCATAGCGAAATTAGTTCGAATTTTCTTAACCAATTCAGCGGATTCTGTGGGATTTATATATTCACAATTTTAATAATTACTACAAAATCTTGTAGATAATGATAGAAATTGTTTTACCAAAGTTATAGGATTTTGTTAACTATATTGCTAGGATTTTAATGAATTTTATATATGAATTGTTGTTACCAATTTTCCACAATAACTACAGATTTTTTTGGGCAGCTACATAATTGACGATTTGACAGCTTTTCAGTTTTCACATTTGTTTGGCAATTATTCCTTTTTTTTTTAACAACATATATATGATCCGATTTTGTAGGATTTTATTTATTCAAAAATTTATTAAATGCTACATATTGCATCGAAATTGTCCACATATTTTTGCCAACTCATCATAGCATAATCAAGTAAATCGGATAGGATCCGACGGGATATTAATTATATCAGAATAAAAAATATCGGATAGTTGTTGAATCCAACGAGATATTAATCATATCCCTATAAATATCATATATTTCTAATGCATTCATCGTATTACATTCAATCTCATACTCGCGGTTCCTTCTACAGTCTTTTTTTTGTTCAATTTATCCAATATCTAATGCCGACATCCTTTTTTTTAGACGTACAGACTAACTGACAGATTTTTGTGTGAAGAACCTTTAAGTTGTGAAGAACATAATTGAAGGGAAAAACAATAGTGACATTGTTCACAACATCATCAGAAGACGAACAAAGACTGAGCCGAACAAAGGTAATACATACCCATAAATTATATATATAAACTTGCTTAAAATACTAATAATAATCTAATAGTCTAAAATTTATCTAGGATATATCTTTTACGATTTACCTTCTTACCTGCGATTTTATTGATATATATATATAATCTTCCAAGTCAATTTCTTCTGTTTTCATCATTCTTGAACAGAAACTTAAGAAAACAAAAACAGTTATAAATACGTCTTTTTGTGATAAATGAATTAGATTATTACTCTAATATTTTATTTTTTTTCTTTTTATTTGGGGGGAGGTGGGTGGAATATAATATTAAAAATAATTCAATATAAACTTGACAAAGGAAAAAACAAGACTAACATAAGTTATCAACATTTGTTGGTTTTAAAAAATAATGTATGAAAACTTGACAAAGTGTAGCTAATATTGTATAAATATAAATTTGCCTCTACATGTTTGAGTCATATATTTTGTCTTTTGCGCACCTGCTTTATGATGTTTACTTCAAGTCATGCATGTATAAGACATTATTAATTAGATTGTAACATGCTTATGCATACAAGAAAATGTATTTAATAATTTAAATATAGTCCATAGACATATGACACTAACAACAATGCAAATAATGTAGAGTTTATAAACATAGGTAATTTCAATATCTACATTTCATCACAGTTCCTATTGAAGGCATTATTGAGATAACATATAACCTTTTATGCTTATATCTAACCTACAAAAATCACACAGGTCAAAATAAAACAAGTATTACACACGTGTTTAACTTGTATGCTTATCTCTTACTCTATTGTTTATGTGAGAATATTAAATAATTTAATGATAATCTTAATACCCTTTATGCTTATCTCAAACCTCAATGCAACAACCACGTGCTTAGTTTACCCATATATAACTTATTTTATTGATTAGAGTTTATAATTTATTAATTACGGGAAAATACTCACTATTTCTTCCTCTAATTATATAAATTACGGGAAAATACTCACTATTTATTCCTTTAATTATATGAAATACGGGAAAATACTCACTATTTGTTCCTCTAATTAGCTTTGTCCACATTTCTTTTGATTTTCGGTTACTCTCTTATTAAATACTATACAAATATGTACTGAAAAATTATCAGTTCTACTTTCTCATTGTTTTCTCTGTTTCAGTTCAACCAACAAAAATATACTTTTC